AAAAAAAAAGTTAAGTGGTGGACAAAAAAAAAGAAAAAAGAAAAAAGGGGTGGAAAGAAATAGAAAGTCCGTATTTTGTTAATACGGTTTTTGAAAAAATTATTTGGAAAATGTATTCCGTGAATACGTTTTCTATTGTAAAAAAAATGTGAAAAACATATTTAGTGAATACGTTTTTTAATTAAATTATACAAAAACGTATTTTGTAAATACGTGCTTTCTATGTTGGTCCACTCTCCTCATTTTTTTTGTTTTTTGTCCACTTATTATTATTATTTTTTATTAATAAATATATAAATTGCTCTATATATCAACACATATTCAAATTGGACGTATAGTTAATAATTATGCGAAAGACTTTCGCATATGCAAATCCACTGTATATTAATTCTTGATATGCGAAACTATTTCGCATTCCAAATTAATAACCACATATTTATCATTTTTTTATTTTTTTTTCGCGTAGACTCGCATATCTAAATTTACCGTATAGTTAACAATAATGCAAAATGCTTGTGCATATTATTTAATTGCATTGTAAGAAACGGATGCGCACCAAGACAGGAATAACCCAGATAAAGCCCAAGTGAGGTTCTGTCACAAAACCAATTAGTGGAAGGAAGAATAGCTCATTAGACTTATAAATTAAGCTTATTTTCCCTATATATAAGGGACGTGGGATAACTTACAAGTGAATATTTTAATACGTTCTCTCTGAGTCCTCCTTAAGAAAGTCCAAGCTCAAATACGGAGTCAAGTGCCCAAGCCTTACGAGAAACGGGCTCCCATAAACGGGTACGTGGAGGAAAAACGTGTGCGTCATCGTAGGTCCCACATAGAGCCGATTCTGATACCATGTAAGAAACGAGAGTAAAATGGATGCGGTCTCACGCAGATGAAGCGCACGAAGACAGGAAAAACTCAAATGAAACCCAAGTGAGGTTTCATTCCAAAATCAATTGGTGAAAGGAGAATAACCCATTATACTTATAAATTAAGTCTATTTTTCCTATGTATAAGGAACGTGGAACAACTCTTCAATATTCTAATATGCATATCTAACTACCGTATAATTTACTATATGCAATAGATTTTATTTTATTTTATTTTATTTTCTCAAGAATTGATTTTTTGTAATCGAGCATACCTTTAACGATTAAGAATCGATTTATTGCCTTATTGAACACATGGTTGTCCTATATATAGCATTTTTGGAGACTCTTGTGTCAACTGTTCATGAGCCGTGATCATTTTTTTTTTTTGGTACATTGTGAGCCGTGATCATTAAAAAGACGTAATGGATAGTAAATGGTTTACGTTGACTCTTTCTTAGCTTTGCTAACTATAATCTGTTTTACTATTAATTAGGGCATCTCCAATGGTAATAGCTATTACTAGCTATATAGTCAGCTGACGTGGATGTGAGAGATAAGAAAAATGACTATTTTACACTATTGGACCCACATACTGCCTCTCACATAATCTTGAGCTACGTGAAATAGATAAGCTATTTGTTAGTAGCTAGTGACTACTCTCTCTCTTACTTTTCCCTTGTCCACGTCATAATAGCTAGCCAAATAGCTAACCATTGGAGACACCCTTATTATATGTCTTTCAATACCAAGAGCGCTTGGATGAGGTGACTTGCGTCTCTTCCAGCTTAATCAGTGGTCTCGTGTTCAAACCCTGAGAATGCAGCATTGTTAAAACTCTTGAGGGAGAGCTTTGCCGCCCTTATGGTCCTACCCGACTCGATTCCAGATTTGTCGGTTCCCCTGTGAATCTGAAAACCGAAAGGTCCATGTACCAAAAAAAAATTATATGCCTCTCAATAAATAAATATGTTTTACCAGCTTAATATATATATATATATATATATATATATAATTCTCAATCATGTTTTATATATTGGATTGAGAATAAATCACTTACATTTGTAAGCACCAATGTTTGCTTCAAGCCTTCAATTTCCCTGCTTTCATAAAAGACAAACTTTACAGTAAGCATGTGCATAATAATGCATATGGAGTTTACACTTACCTCATGCTATTTTTAGTTTTTTACTGCTTTTGCTTTTATCAAGCTAGTCGGTCCTCTTTCTCGTTATATATTTTTTTATATGCCTTTATATCTTTTTCTTCAATTATTATTAAACTTGCCTTCCTTTCTTTTTCCTTGGTAAGATATAACTTTGTAAACTATATTAATTTGTGGCACAATTTTATTTTTAGTTCATTATATTAGTCATTTTCGAGTAAATATATATCTTTTTGGCAGACATCAAACTTAGTACATTTATTTGGAAATTTTATCGATTAAGGTTTTGTAATATTAGCGACAGGATAAAATTTGTCGTTTATTGTCCGGTCTAATTCGAAAGTTGTCCGATATCAGTTTCAAGTGGGTGGCCAACTGTGGATTTCTTTTCGTCGAGACGATCTTATCTGTAAACTTTTAGTCAAATTATAATTCATTTGTCTACTCAATTTTCCATCCAAAATGATTTGAGTTATTTTCAATCCAGTTTAATTACGGCGCTATATAACATCCGGTTTAGATGGGTGACCGACCATCGAATTCTTCTTTTCGAACTGGTCATACTCACATAATTTGATCTCAATTGAAGTCTGTTTGTCTGCTCAATTTGTCATCCAAAATAATTAATTTTAGTTCAACTTCGTTGTTATTTATCTAGAGGTCATTCCGGTACCTTATTGTGTACATTCAATAGGGCGACTCACCGTTCGATTTTATCACATCAAGATGATCGTAACAAAAAATTTATAGGTCAAATTTCATTTGCCCATTCATATTTTTGTCCAAAATAATTTGAATTGTTCTATTTTCAGCTTAATTATGGTGCCCATTTCAAGTATGTGACTCACGAGTAATACTCACCTACCCAGCTTTACTATTGATTCTTTTAAGATCTGCAATTGACAAAAACAAAAGGGAAAGACCAAAAAAAAAAAAC